TGACATCATCGTAGAACAAGCTCAACTTGTGATGAGTAATATACAGAAACATCGTATTCCATTCTGGAGGTAATTACTACAATTATCAAGACTATAATATCATATATGCCCGTGTCAAGTACTGATAAAATCATCATTTTTATTTGTAGGTTTGTTCCGACTAAGGAGAACAAGAGGTTGAAGGAAAATAATAGAAACTTTGAAGCTATCGTAGAGGTTATTATCAGAAGAAAGAGGGAAGCCATGAAGGCAGGTGAAGGCACAGAGGATAACATACTGGGCATACTTTTAGAATCCAATCAAAAGGAGATTGAGGAACAGGGAAACGACAAGAACGTTGGATTGAGTATGAAAGATGTGATTGAGGAATGCAAGTTCTTCGCCCTGGCTGGCCATGAAACCACTGCTGTTCTTCTGGTCTGGACTATGATGTTATTGAGTATGTATCCTCATTGGCAAGCACGTGCAAGGGAAGAAGTCCTGCAAGTCTTTGGCAACCAAAAACCAGACTTTGAATCATTAAATCACCTTAAGCTTGTGAGCATGTTTCTTTATCTGTCATATACATAAGATATTTTTCTTAAGTACACTGATCATGTATCTTTTTAGCCACAAACATTTATATATACTGAAAAAAGACATTTGACGTTGCAGGTTACAATGATCTTGTACGAGGTTTTGAGGTTATATGCACCGGTAATATGGGTAGAGAGAAATGTAGAAAAAGACATGAAACTTGGGAAATTGTTAGTTCCTGGAGGAGTACAGATTTGCATACCAATACTCATGTTGCACCATGATCAAGAGCTGTGGGGAGATGATGCCAAAGAGTTCAACCCAGAAAGATTTTCAGAAGGATTATTAAAGGCATCAAAAGTTCCTTATGTTCCATTCTACCCATTCGGAGGTGGTCCTCGAATCTGCACTGGACAGAACTTTGCCTTGGTGGAAGCTAAAATTGCTTTGTCTTTGATTCTACAACGGTTCTCCTTCGAGCTTTCCCCAACATATTCTCATGCTCTCACCACCTTCATCACTCTTCAGCCTCGCCATGGAGTTCAACTCATTCTGCGTAAATTGTAATAAATTTATGATATTTTGTTGCTGCTGTATTTTGTTGGCTCAAGGCGCCTTATCCGTATTGTCTCCGGTATTTTATTGTTTTATGTGTTTGTGTCACTTGTTTTCATATGTGTTTTATGTATGTTTAACTTTTAATATAAAAAACAAGTGCTCATTCGGGTACCAAATGAATTCTCCAATCATCATTATTGGATTTGTGTATTAGTGTGTATTGTACAATCTGCATCTTCTATCGCTGATAAAAGTATGGGCGTATCAGCTCTTGATCACGTTTATTTATAGTTTATTTTTCCCTGTATAGGCAATATTTAGGTCATGCATGATATTTTTTTCACCTAGTTGAAATTATGCAGAGACTGGGGGGAAAAGATAAAAGTCTATAGTTTAAATTTTGTTAGTGTAAAACTATATACCAATATGAATTTTGAATATAAAAGCTAAATAACTAATTTATAAAAAATAGATAATTAATTTGTAATGATTGAAAAAATTAGTTAAATTGATTAATCATGAGAAATATGAATTGACTTTCTTAAACTATTCTTTTTAATCATGTACATTAAAACTATCCACGGGCGGAACCTTTTATAATTAATAGAGATATTTTAAAAGAAAATTTATAAATTTGAGAGAGAAAGTGTATTAAAATCTTATATTTAAGATCAAATTTTTATATTAGGATCTAATATAACAATAGAATTATATTGATATTTTAATAAGCTTCAGGTGTATCCAGCATCCCGAAATATTTTGTAATGTATTCAACACTCTGAAGTATTTTTTAAGTGCATCCAGCATCCTAAAATATTTTTTATCTTACTACTAAATGCACTAAAAAATATTTTTGGCTGATAAACACGCCTAAAAAAATATTTTGAAATGTTAGATACATCAAAAAAATATTTCACAATGCTGGACGCATCTAAAAAAATACTTCAAGATACTGAATGTACCACAAAATATTTTGAGATGCTAGATATATTCAAGAAAACACTTTGAGACATTGGATGCACCTTAACTTTATTTTAATATTATCACTTGTACCCTAAAAGTTATAGGTGCCCCACACGGGTTAAAAACTAAATTTATAAGTACGTAAACGATATCATATTAGAAATTTGACATAACAATTTTTACTGTAATGGAACAGCAATAATTCATTAGTTCATAATTTACAAATACGTGAATGATATGACGTTATAAAGTTGAGATAGCTCGCTGGGACCAAGACCTCGTGCGTAATTGTAACTTATACAGTTATAGTCGTGGTCTAGGCCGGGCTGAGAACAGATTCCATGGCATCGTGAAGTTGGAGGTAGATGGATTGTCTCATGGGGAAAGTGGATGCGGAGAAGCTATTTGGGACGGGTTTGGATCTTTTTCTTCTCAGTATATGATCTTTATCATTGGATCAAATAACGAATGATTCAGATTTCATACTTTATAAAACTATTATTATAACTAAATAGAAAAGAGAAGGTAAATATTTGCTTTTTAAAATATTAAATCTGAACCGTCTATTACTTGATATAATGGTGGAAATGAGATTTTGAGAAGAAAAAGAGAAAGAAGAATTCTAAGAGTGTCTTTGGCCCATTTGGGACAAGGTAGATGGATAATGGCATTTAAATACAAGCTCACAAAGATTCCACCTGCAGGGGCGAAATTAATTGGCATCATCCATGGGCTTAATCTTTGTTGGGCCAAGGGTTTCAAAAATATTTACTTGTTTTCTGATTGTATAGAAACCTTAAATTTAATTATTAAAGGTCGTAACAATTCTTACCCTTTTAGAGACGTTGTAGATGATAATAGGATGCTCTTTTGTAGGGATTGGCATGTTCTGATTAACCACACCTTTTGGGAGACCTTAGGTACTACTGATTTTCCAGCCAAAAAGTTAAGATAGCAAGTTTTGACGTAATATAAGAGCATTTTGTTGATGTTTTTGATGTAATAGCTTGCACCCTAGAAAATACACATGCATCACATTAATTGAAAATTTAATCACCAACCATGCAAAACTGGGACATATCAAATTTTAATATAATACGGATGAGAAAATTAGGTTTGCCATCAAGTCTAATTACTATTTTTTCATAAATGTTTTATCTTAATATATTTAACTCTTGTTGACAGTCATCTAATGCATAAAAAATTTAACATTTAATTTAAATACTCATCCATTGTAATTATTAATAGAATAATTAATATTCACTCTTTGTTCAAGCAATTATAATATGATCATTATATAATGTTAAAACAATATTTCCTAGAACATCTCTGTATTATCCAATCACCATGCCGTGTTAAAAGGGAGTTGGTAGAAATGAATGATCATTGAAAAAATGAAAAAAAATATTAAAAAATCCTCAACTGCAAGATTTATTATTCAAAAATACCTTAAATTTGTTCAAGGACCATGTCCCATATATCTTCAACGAGAGCAACAATTTTTCAATTGTGTAATCTACCTTCAACAATATGCAAAACAAAAAACATTTTGCAAGAAGAGTTGCACTTGCACTCGTTGAAGGTAAGTCATACCCACCCAAGATCCAAAGTCTTTAGATACTTTTGGCGATAAATTTTGCAGTGAAAGATTTTTTTTTTCAGTGATTTTTCCTTAAAAAGAACATAAAAGACACAAAATATTGTCAAAGTTGCTGATATCCAAGTATAAAGTATTTCTACCTAGACCCGTGATCAAGCTGTTTTCCAACTTTCATCAAACCCTTCGTAAAATGGAGTCTTTGAAGCCTTTATGGCATGATGCCATTTTACAAATCAGATTTATTAGTTGCTTGTAGCAGCAGGACTTGTGAAGGCTTCCATGGGAAGAAATCACAGCAAATCTGAATGGATAATGTAGTGAGGCACTCAACGGGAAGACAAACAACGAAAAAGCCGGGAAGAGAGTGAACGCATAGATCATGCTAGCAAAATATTCCCTTGGATTTTGGTCCTTCAGATCAATTTTCTCAAGGGGCAACGTAATTGCATACAAAAGAGAACGCATCAAAACTAAATGCAGATGAAAAATAAAACACGAAACTTACAAGATGGTTATAAGAAAATCCAAGCATTAGATAAGTTCTACCCACCGTATGCAGGACCAGTAGCTAACATCATCTGATAACCATATGCATGCGGGACCACTGGCATCATGTGACAACAATATGAATCTAGGACCACTGACATCATCGGATGGACATGAAAAAACTAATTAATATGATAGGACAACAAATAAATATAGCAAACATTTTCAAACTCTAAATAAACAAAGCATAAACTCCAACTTCGTACATCAATTTTTTTATACAACTCCGTACATCAAATTGCCATACTATTACTTCTTTAAAACGATTGATTTACATAGTCCCTCATCCCTCCGGTCCTTACAATACCTTTTACAAAATTTACTGAAGCATTCATGACATTTTTAAAAATACCCTTATCTTTTGCTCTTGGATTTGCCATCCCTCCATCTCTTGCCCAAATTAACCATATCAATCAAATGGTTATTTTGAAAAATCACTAAAGTTTTTTACATTTAACTACTTTTAACTAATTTCCGTAATCTCATGAAAGTTGTTCACAGTCTTGTATATAAATGACCAGAGTAAGTATATAATATTACTAGACAAACTCTTCGGAAGATAGATACAGAAAAACAAGAACGAACTGAACCAGAGTTGGCCGGCACAAAAGCTTTCTGGTATAATTCAATAATATATGCACTGGCAATACACGTCAATCTAAACTAACACGAAAGACTATTATATATAATATTTTCAACTTGTTCTCTGAGAATATATATAGATAACTAGATACGCGCCACAACACGAGTACATACTCACAAAGAGAGATGAAAGGAGCATCAATAATATCAGGAGTGGCCACATGGATAGCAGTAATAACAGTTTTAAGATGGGTTTGGAAGATGGCAGTGTGGTTATGGGTGAATCCAAAGAGGCTAGAGAAAGCTCTGAGACATCAAGGTCTTCAGGCCAATCGCTATCGATTCTGGGTTGGTGACTCTTTCCAAATGAGCAACATGGTACGACAAGCCAAAGCCACTCCCTTGCCCGCTCATTCCAATGACCTAGTCCCTCAAATCTCCCCCTTTCAGCAGCACACTATCAACAGATATGGTGCCCCTTCCTATGCCTTTCCCCCTTAATTCTTTTCTCTCATTCTTTTTTTATCTTAACAGTCTCAGTCCATTTTCTCATTTACCATGCACTGGAAACCATTCAAGAAACTAATAACATGACAGAGACGTTTGTTACCATAAATAGAAGAGTTGTTTCCTTCCATCTTCTCTATAGACGCATACATATTATATATCCATACTGTGAAGCAATTGACGTGCAGGTAGGGATTCATTCATGTGGTTCGGACCAATACCAATGTTGATCCTCACGGATCCTGAGCTGATAAAAGATATGTTAAACAGACACAACGACTTCACAAAATATCACAATTTCCCAATTGTTAACGAATACGTAGCCCCTGGGGTTGCAGGCTACGATGGTGAAAAGTGGGCTAAACACAGGAAGATTCTCCAACCAGCATTCAATGTTGACAAATTGAAGGTTATTCCCTTATTTTCTTGCCAAATTAAATTGCCATCACACATCTATACTCATTGATAAATATATAGATTAATTTCCATGTTATCGTGACAGCATCTTGAAGCAAGGCATATTGTTAGGATGAAATTTTGTTTTCTTATTTTTGGTTGCGATTGCCAGAACTGCAGCCGTTTGGTCGAGAATTTGACTCTAATAATATCTTAATCTTTCTACAGTCTCTGATTCCAATCTTTAGTCAAAGTTGCAACGAAATGATCAACAAATGGGAGAACCTGTTGTCCTCCTCAGATGGAACATGTGAAGTGAATATATGGCCTTGGCTTAAGGATATGACAAAGGAAGTGATGTCTCGATCAGCATTTGGAAGTAACCATGAAGAAGGCAGACAAACATTTGATCTTCTAGCAGAACTAAGTGTAGTTGTAATGAATAATTTACAGAAACATTACATTCCATTATGGAGGTAATTACCAAGACTAACAGTCTAATACGATGACCTGTGCTTGTGACTTATAGATTAGTGCTTATTAAATCCTTTTGTAGGTTTCTACCAACTAAGGGGAACAAGAAGATGAAGGAAATTGGAAGAAACGTGAGAACTTCCCTAGAGTATATTATCAACAAAAAGGAGAAAGCCATGAAGGGGGTTGAAGCTGTAAAGAATGACCTACTGGGCATACTTTTAGAATCCAATCACAAGGAGATTGAGGAACAAGGGAACAAGAAAAATGCTGGCTTGAGTATGAAAGATGTGATCGACGAATGCAAGTTGTTCTACATGGCAGGCCAAGAAACCACTTCTGTTCTACTGGTCTGGACTATGATGCTCTTGAGTAGGCATCCTGATTGGCAAGCACGTGCAAGGGAAGAAGTTCTGCAAGTCTTTGGCAGTCAAAAACCACAATATGATGCATTAAGTCGCCTTAAGATTGTAAGAGTGTGTGTGTGTGTGTGTGATATATTGTATATATAAATTTCTTTAGATAAATTGATTGTGTTTTAATCAAACCCTAACACGAACACACACAATACAATTCAACCACGAACATGCATATATTTATGATGAAATTTGCCACCACAGATGACCATGATCTTGTACGAGGTTTTGAGGTTATACCCACCAGTAACATGGCTAGAGAGGTATGCTGTAAAGGACATGAAACTTGGAAAACTATCAATACCTGAAGGAGTACAGCTTGGCGTACCAATACTGATGGTGCACCATGACCAACAATTGTGGGGAGATGATGCTAAAGTGTTTAGACCAGATAGATTTTCCGAAGGAATCTCCATGGCATCAAAAGGGAGTTCTTCTGCATTCTTCCCATTCGGAGGAGGTTCCCGAGCCTGTCTTGGACAGAACTTTACCTTGTTGAGTGCGAAGGTGGCTCTGTCATTGATTCTACAACGTTTCTCCTTCGAGCTTTCCCCATCATATTCTCATGCTCTCACCACCGTCATCACTCTTCAGCCTCAACACGGAGTTGAAGTCATTCTGCGTAAACTGTAATAAATTTATTATATCGAAGCACTAATTCATGTACAATATGAATTCAGAATAATCCGCACCTCCTAGGTTAATAAAATCAAAATAGACGTAGAGTTGTAATTTTCAAACACCTGGAAAGGAAAGAAAGTATGGGCATCATCTAAGCATTGAAATATGACGCAATTATGCAAAGGACCAATAATGAGGATACTGTAATGAAGCATAGGGAAAGGATGAGCAAGGAAGATCACGCAGGAGGAAGGGAGCATGCTCATCATGCGCAAAGGTCATTACAAATATGCGCGGAGCTGAGAGGCATAGAGGCTATAGCAAGAGAAGATCCTTCATCGAAAAGGGTTTGGATTATTATTGTGGAATTTCCCTCTCTTATGATTCATCTCTCTCTGTAACTCGGTTCTTTCTCTCCTTCCTCTGTTTTTCCTTCTTCTTTTCTGCTCTTCATGTCTGTGTGTCTGTGTGACTGTAACTGGTTGGCAAATAATGATAATGATGATGGTGTGTTTCGATTAATTTGCCTGTACTGGATGAGTGTGTGTGATCTTCCTCGAACGAAATCATAACTAATAGCTAGTGAGAAAGAGTCCAAAATGTCCCCAAATTCATTCAGCTGCCACTTGGAACTCCCCACTGTTCTGGAGCTCCAAGCGGAAAAAATGGCGAAGGAGGCTTCAGAAACAAGGCCATTTAGTTGCAACAACGTGGAAAAGGAAATGTTAGGGTACTTTATTGGAAATGTTGTGTATATATTTTTTATTTATTTTTGTTTTGTATGGGCTGACCGCTGCGTGTATATGTGAGTAGCCTGCCCGCTTTTGTACATAGTCAGGACTCTTTATAAATAGAGTCCAGTAGGCCCATTTCTGTGTAATCTGATTTTCAATCAATGAAATATTCAGTTTCATTTCTTTGAGCTGTGCGTTTTGGGAAAAGTGGAGGCAGGGCGTCTTGTTCAACATGGCATCAGAGCCACACGCCGTCGTCTAGGGCTACCGATAGAGCCAATCAACACAAGCCCTTGAAGAACCTCACACACACAAACCCTACACAGCGAATTCAATGGGAGAGGAGAAGATCGCGGCCGAAGCCATCCCCTTTTCACATCCTCTATTTCTACACTCTTCAGATACCCAGGGAACAGCGATCATTCCTCATATCCTCACCGGCACCAAGAACTATACGGTATGGTCTTGTGCGATGCGAATCGCTCTCCTCAGGAAGCATAAGCTTGGCTTCGTGGATGGCTCGTGCAAGAAAGCAGACCAAGATAGCCATCTACTATCGCAATGGGAGAGATGCAACGCTGTCGTCCTTTCATGGTTAATCAATTCGATTTCTAAGGAATTGGCCACCGGCATCATCTACTTTCAAGATGCTCATGATGTTTGGACTAAGTTAAAAGAGCGTTTCGACAAGAAAAGCAGCTCAAGAATATTTGCATTACACCGGGAAATTAATTCTCTCCGTCAAGGCCCCAAGGCATATTTTGATTCAATCCAGGAGCAGAAGTTACTCCAGTTTTTGATGGGACTAAACGAAAACTTTACACAAGCGCGGAGTCAAATCTTGCTCATGTCCCCTCTGCCATCCGTCAACGAGGCATATTCTATGATCATCCAAGATGAAACTCAACGGTTCATCAGCTATATGGAGATAAAAATGTCTCAACAGAGGGACTTGCCATGACCGCAAGAGGAAGGGGTCGCGGACGTGGACAGGGAAGAGGAGAAAATGTCCCGGAATGTACCCACTGTCACAAGAAGGGACATGTTCGCGAAAATTGCTTCCAGATCGTTGGGTACCTGGCGAATTTCAAAGGCAATAAAGGGAGACAACAAAAAGAATTTCAGCAAGGGGGAGCAGATTCTGTCAAGGATTCAGATTTTCATGGCCATGCAGCAACTACGGTCACTCCAACTTTTACGCAGGAGCAATATGAAAAGATCCTGGAGCTGCTCAAGAAAGACACAGAACCTGCAGTGCACGCTTTAACTAGTACAAGTTTGATTTCTCCTATCCCTAGTTTTCAATCTTATACACACTGGATACTGGATTCGGGTGCCACAACCCACATGCCCGGTAAACTGGACCTATTTGACAGTTATGAACAATATTTTAGACCAATCAAATCAATTAAAATACCTAATGGGGATAGGTTATCTGTTACTCACATTGGTTCGGTCACTGTAGCTGAAAATATTATCATTCATAATGTTCTTTATGCACCCTGCTTGGAATTCAACCTTATATCTATATCCAGATTCACTAGAGAAAATAATTACATGGCAGCCTTCTTCCCTGATCTCTGTATACTGCAGGGCCTTCAAGATGGGAGGATCAGGATGACTGGTAGAGAGTATAAGGGATTGTATGTACTAAAAGTGATCAACAGTATTCACGATTCAGCTAATGTTGTCCAAAATGAGAAAAATTTGAAGAAGGATTGTGATATTCAATTGTGGCATAGAAGGCTAGGACATGCACCCCTATCTGTGTTAAAACATTTGAATCTTACATGTACTGATTCTTCTATATTGAATAAAGATTCTCATTCATGTGATATTTGCATTCGGTCTAAACAGACTAAGTTTCCATTTAATTCCAATGTGATTAAATCTAAGAGATGTTTCGACTTAATTCATGCAGATGTTTGGGGTCCTTACAAGAACCCCACACATCAAGGTTTCCAATTTTTCTTAACTTTAGTGGATGATTTTTCAAGAGGGACTTGGATATTTTTAATGAGACTTCTTGCTTATGATGAAGAAAAAACCGCAAGGAGGACCTGTTAAAGGAACCAGGGAAATATAGACGATTGGTTGGTAAGTTGATTTATTTGACTATGACCCGGCCTGATATCTCTTATTCTGTGCAGACATTGAGCCAGTTCATGCAAAAGCCAACCAAAGCACACATGGCCGCTGCTAGGAGTGTTCCGAGATATCTTAAGGGAACCCCTGGGCTAGGGATTTTTATCAGCTCAGAAGGGAAACCGGAGCTAGAGTGCTACTGTGATTCAGATTGGGCTTCCTGTGCAATGACAAGAAGATCAGTTTCTGGCTATCTGCTGACGTTGAGAGGATCGCTTGTGATGTGGAAAACTAAGAAACAACATACTGTTTCGAAGTCTTCTGCAGAAGCAGAATACAGAGCCTTGAGTATGGCAACTTCTGAGGGTAGTTTGGGCTATTGGTCTATTAAAAGACTTGGGTATAAATCATGAGGGTCCAGTGAAGGTGCACTGTGACAGCAAAGTTGCGATACATATTGCAGCTAATCTAGTTTTTCATGAGCGTACAAAACACATAGAGATATAGATTGTCACTTTGTCAGGGAGAAATGAGAATCAAAGCTGATTGATTTGTGTCGTGTTAGAAGTCATGATCAAGAGGCAGACCTGCTGACAAAGGCTGTAGGAGGAAATGTACAGAAGAATTTTTTAGGCAAGTTAGGAACTATTGATGTTTTTAAGCCCCTAACTTGAGGGGAGTATTGGAAATGTTGTGTATATATTTCTTATTTAGTTTTGTTTGTATGGGCTGACCGCTGCGTGTATATTGAGTAGCCTGCCCGCTTTTGTACATAGTCAGGACTCTTTATAAATAGAGTCCAGTAGGCCCATTCTGTGTAATATGATTTTCAATCAATGAAATATTAGTTTCATTTCTTTGAGCTGTGCGTTTTGGGAAAAGTGGAGGCAAGGCGTCTTGTTCAACATACTTGAACTAAAAGAGAGGAAAGAAGGGAGAAAAAGGAATCTTCACCTGATGCAACCACAGTGAAGGAAGTGAGGAGAAATTAAAGAACTTGACTGCGACGTGCACAACTCCAAACGCAGCGCGAAGGGAGTAGAAGAAGGAGAACGAAGCGCAATGTGGAGGAAAACGAGTTCGCGCCATTGTAGAGCTGCTTAGGGGGAATTTTTTTGGGGAAAATTTCAGTTAAGGACCGTAAAAACAATTTATATCAATCAAGGGTTCAAATGCAAATGAACAAGTTAAATTTGAAGATTTACAAAAAAGTTTATGGATTTACAACCCAAATTTGACAAATACAAGAGAATTTACAACCCAAATGTAAGTGTTTTGAGTGTAAGTGAATAAGTGAAATTCGACGATTTACAAATGAAATTCAGCAATTCACAACAAAAATTAGGCAATTTACAAATAACATAATGGAACTCACAACCCCAATGCAAGTATTTAAAGTGTAAATAAGTAAGTGAAATTTGAAGATTACAACAAAAGTTTATGGATTTGCAAGTGAATTTGACAATTTACAACAAAAATTAAAATTTTACAAATAACATAATGGAACTCACAATTCCAAATACAAGTGTTTAAGTGTAAATGAGCAAATGAAATTTGAAGATTTACAACAAAAGTTTATAGATTTGCAAGAAATTCAACAATTTTACTTGCTCATTTGCACTTAACCGCTTGTACTTGGAGTTATGACTTCTATTATGTTATCTGTAAATTGCCTAATTTTTGTTGTAAATTGCTGAATTTCATTTATAAATCATCGAATTTCACTTGTTCATTTACACTTAATACTTACTTTTGGGTTGTGAATTCTCTTGTATTTGCCAAATTTGGATTGTAAATCCATAAAATTTTGTTGTAAATTTTCAAATTTTCACTGCTCATTTGCATTTAACACTTGCATTTGGGGTTATGACTTCTATCATGTTATTTGTAAATTGCCTAATTTTTTGTTGTAAATTACTGAATTTCACTTGTTCATTATATTTGGACAGTTGTGTTTGTTTTGTTTATATATATTTTATTTGCATTACAAGATTGAATGGTTGCTTGGCTTGATGGATATTAGCTTTTTAGTGTGCCAAGGGGTCATGGATTCAAACCCTCCTTTGCCACCTTATTTTAACAAAAAAAAAAAATTCCGACCACCAACAGTAGCTCCAATTAATATTTATTTTTTAATAAAATAAAAAGGGAGGGGTGTTATTGTAATCTACTCTAAATTTTAATTTCAATTTGGTTTCTTGGTCCTGGAGTAAAATTTCAGAAAGTTTTAGTCTTTGACTGATATAAATTGTCTTCTGCAGTCTTTAACTGAATTTTTCCATTTTCTTTTCGATCAATTCCACCATACTTACCAACGTTGATTTCGGGCGTCCATTTTAAAAGGAAAAATTGCAACTAAAGGCCCCCTGATATTAAAATTGTGATTGGGGATTCTAAATTTAAAAATAACAATAAAAACCTGAGCTCACTTTTTTAAATATAAAATTGTTGGTGAAATGTCTGAAATGTCCTCATCCAAATGACAAATTAACTATAGAAGTGACAAATTCACTTTAGCGAATGATAATTTCAGTAGACCAAATTACAATTTGGCTGAGAGTATGCCAATGACGAATTGATTATGAAAAAT